TGGTGTCCCCACTTCCCCTTTCTGGGGACCTCAGTCGACTTCTTTTGCATTTCCTGGCTCTGTTTCACACAATGCTCAGAGCTTCAAATCCCCCTTCTCTGCAGTTACTCCAAGGTTTAAGCTGTGGGAAAGTCACTCAGGCTTATGCGGGGGATGCCAGTGCTGCTTCTGCTGCTGTACTGCTGTGTCAACACACCACTTCTCTCTGCTTCCCTTGCCTCTGTAAATTGATATACGAACAGCAACAACAAAACCAACGGCCAAGTCAGTATGTGATTTACAAAGATGTCCAGAGACCACTCAGTATCAGTATCAGCCAGCAGATAAAGCACAGGGCTTAGAGTCGGAGAGCCTGGGCTCTTATTCCAGCTCTACCGCTTTTCTTAGTTGTATGACCTAGGCAAGTGACTTAAACCGTCTGTGTGTCAGTTTCCCTATCTGTGAAACATGGGTTTAAAGTTAGTACCTACTGCAGAGGTTGATGGGGGGATTAAATGATGTGCAAAATGCCTGGAACAATGCATGGTCCATGGCAAGCCCTGGATTCACATTGGCTTTTATGTTACGTTAGTTCCAGACTCTGCCAAAGCAGGCACTTGTAAAACCAGCCAGTTCTGCTGCTGCTCCTGGCCAGGCTTCAGGATCCTCAGGAACAACCTCTGCTACTTAGCAGTCCTCCACATCCACCACTCCATGGAAGCAGCTGTCATCAGAGCTGCCAGTGACTTCCCTGTGACCATCTCCAAGAGGCTCTTAGTGCTCTAATTCTTTCTGAGTCATCTGCCACTTTGGATATCACTCCTGGGCATCTTTTTCTCACTTTGACTCTTAAAGAAATATCCTGTACCTACTGAACTTCTTTCCCTATGTTTTTATTTTATGTGTTTTCTCTCTGCCTCCCAACATCCCCACCTCCCTACTCCACACTGGAAGTGTCAGTATTTGGCACATAGTAGATGCTCAGTAAATGTTTGTGAACTGACTTGAACTGTGTTGTTGAAGTAGTTCCTTAACTGTATCCCTTTGTATCATTTTCTTGATATTTGAGCCCTTGCTGCTCTGCCTGGAATCTCTGCTATGATGAAGCAAACCCTTCAGCATCTTCTGACTTATAGTTCATCTTTTTCTTCTTTTGAGCCTTGAAATTCATTTTATTTTATTTTATATATATTTTTGATACAGGGTCCCACTCTATTGCCCAGGCTGGAGTACAGTGGTGCAATCATGGCTCCCTGCAGCTCCGACCTCCCAGGCTTAGGTGATCCTCCTGCCTCAGCCTCCCCAAGTAACTAGGACTACAGGTGTGCACCAACACACCTAGCTGATTTTTTGTATATTTTGTAAAGACAGGAGTTTGTCATGTTGCCCAGGCTGGTCTTGAACTCCTGGGCTCAAGCGATCCACCTACCTCGGCCTTCTAAAGTTTTGGAATTACAGGCGTGAGCCACCATATCCAGCCTGAAATTCTTTACAATTAAATTAACCTGTCTCAAGCTTCCAATTTTGGGACAGAGGTATATTTTTAAGGTCTAGATTTCACTTTATTCAGGAAACAGGAATTAGGTCCCACCACACATCAAAACTACATACTATCATCCTAAAAATAACTCCTTTTGAGGCATACAAGATCATGTTAACAAGGGAATCATATTCTCTGAGTGGCAGAACCCAACATTTTAATATGCATTTTATGGGTGTGGTGGCACATGCTTGTAGTCCCAGCTACTCAGGAGGCCGAGGTAGGTGGATCACTTGAGCCCAAGAGTTCAAGGCGGCAGTGAACTATGATGGCACCTCTGCACTCTAGCCTGAGCAACAGAACGAGATGCTGTCTCTAAAAAAATAAAAGCTAAAATAAAAACAAAATTGATTCCTTTTCTTTTTTTTCTTTTTTGAGATGACTGGAGTGCAATGGTACGATCTTGGCTCACTGCAACCTCTGCCTCCTGAGTTCAAGCGATTCTCCTGCCTCAGCCTCCTAAGTAGCTGGGATTACAGGCACGTTCCACCATGCCTGGCTAATTTTTGCATTTTTAGTAGAGACGGGGTTTCACCATGTTGGTCAGGCTGCTCTTGAACTCCTGACCTTGTGATCCATCCACCTCAGCCTCCCAAAGTGCTGGGATTACAAGTGTGAGCCACCGCGCCTGGCCCATAAAATCGATTTCTTAAAGACAGTGAAGTATGATAACTGTTGGTTTGCTCTTGCCCGGAAGTTGAATAAAGGTTTGACCTATGAGAATCAAGGACAATTAAAATACTAGCTTATAGCATAAAAAGAGAAGCAGACTTCCCCTTACATGCACACACATACACACTCTTTCTGAAGTCAACTATACATACTTTTTAAGACATTACACATTGGATTGTTCCCACTATCACACGATCTTGTAATGATCAGGTCTGACTTCTCTGTTACGCATAGTGGGGAACCAAGATACTTTTAGGGGCTCATGAAAACGCTTGATTTTAATTTATTTTAAAATCAGGGCTGGGTGCAGTGGCTCACACCTGTAATCCCAGCACTTTGGGAGGCTGAGGTGGGAGGATTGCTTGAGCCCAGGAGTTCAAGACCAGTCTGTGCAACATGGCAAAACCTCGTCTCTACAAAAAAAAAAAAAAAAAAAAAAATTAGCGTAGTAGTGCATGCCTGTAGTGCCAACTACTTGAGAGGCTGAGGTGGGAGGATCACTTGAGCCTGGGAAGTGGAGGTCGCAGTTAGTCAAGATAGCTCTGCTGTCCTCCAGCCTGGGTGACAGAGTGAGACCCTGTCTCAAAAAAATAAATAAAATCAAATCAGAATGAAAAAAATAATCATCACAAGTATGTAAGAACAAATTCATATACTTTTAAATTTTATTTTTAATGAAGAAAGGAGCCCACAAAGACAAAAATACCCCTGGCATTTCCAGGCACCACAAGAGTCACAATGAGGCCCTAGTAAGGACACTGATTCAGTCGAGGTTCATGTATTCACACTGAGTACTCCTGGAGATTTTCATATTTTAGAGTTATATGTTGTGCAAACTTAGTCTTTGATTTTCTAGTTTTTTCTATTTATACTAACACCTCAGAGACCTATTACATTTCATGGCCTTTGTTTACTGTCTCTATTGTAACGACTTCCAAGTCCCTCTCTATTCTTGTGTTGGAGTTCTAATTTTGTACTTCTAACTGCCTGTTGGGTATTTCCACCTGTGTATCTCATCGCTAGCTCAGTTAACAAAGACATCGCTGAGCTCACCATCTTCCCCTGCTCTTCGGTTTTCTCTCTTCAATTTTCCTGTCTGTTAGAGTTCCTGCTAATTCTATAGTCATTAACGAGCCAACCATGAGCTTATCTCCTTCTTCATCCCCTTATCTGAGGACCTGATTGAGCCTCTGGTCCCATGCCCACTGCCATCCCTATTGGAGTCTCACTGCCGGTCCCTCAGCCAAGCATCCTTACCTCTCATCGAGTTCCACGTGCAGACTCCTGACTGACTTCTCTGCATTCCAGCTTCCTCGTGCGACACATTCCTGACCCTCCCTGAATTGATCTTTGTACTGCTTTCATCATTTTCCTCCTCTGCTCCATAATTCCTCCACACTGCAACCCAAACTCCTCAGCCAGTTTAGAAAGCTCTGCTCACGTGGTTCCCCACACTGTAGCCAATGCATCTCCCAACACATTAACACCCACCAGAGGTAGTGATTAAGGAGTCCATTCACTCACGAACTAGACTTGCTGTCTTAGTCTTTTGTTCCTGCTCATTCATTCATTCATTCATTCATTTATTCTGTTTTGGGGTAACTACTCTGTCCCAGGCACAGACACCTTAAATGTTCCTCTATTACCTATGCCAACCCTATACAGCTTTCAAAGCTCAGGACAAGTTCCAATCCATGAAGCCCAGGTCTCCCTTCTATCACAAGTCTTTTTCTTCTGAACTCCTGGGACGCTTAGAGACATTGTCAAACATTTAGGACTTAAACATGTGACGTGAGATTTCCGGACTGTGTCATGCATGCTGTCCAGTCTGACTTGTTGGAGTTTCTGCAAAGGTCTTTACAGAAGATCTGTCTTTTTAGCACTCAGCTGCATCTGGCATCAAGCCCTGGATGGACTAGTGGTATGCTAACCCATTGGTTATTAATCATCGCCACGATTGTTCATGTGTTTACTACAGTATGATCCAGGCATTGACTACACCAGGCACTTTATGAGGTTATTATTATCCTCCGTTTTTTACAGATGAGGAAAGTGAGGCTCAGAGAGGTTAAGTGACTTCTCCAGTTTTACATAGTTTTGAAGTGGCGGAGTGAGAATTTGAATATAGGTCCAACATAATTCAAATATTGTGCTCTTGACCACTTAACTAAATTAACTCTACTTTCTGATTGATTCATATATGTTCAAATCTACTCCTCCTCTTCCTAGTGTCATTATGTTTGTTTTTTCTCTCCTTTGTATTTTTAAGGCCTGCTGGTCTATCCTTTCAAGGTTCTACACTTATGCTGGACCCACTATGCTGTCCTAGAACATCATAGTAAATGTCCACCAGATGTTAATTATTTGAGTGAGAATGGTTGTGAGCATTGGGATTCACATGTGGGCTCCCCCAGCCAGTATCCTTCTCTTTTGCAGTAGCATATTTTGTAGATTAAATAAAACTCAAGATTTAAAAAACCAAATTAATAAATGATCAATGGAAACAGAAATTTGGAACACAGAAGTAGCATTTCAAAGTGAACACCTTATATGTAAAAGCTCACAACCAGGAATTTCTTCAGTTGGGTTTACAGCAATGTTATATCACTAATACTAGGTTTCTCTCTATATGGCCAAACATGTAAAGCCTTCGTATCTGATTATGGAGCACATCTAGACTGTTAAAAAGCTTTCTATAATATTAATAAAATCAAATAATTAATAACAATTAAATTGCATAATCATAGCAATTTCATTCTGAGAATGTTTTGTGGCCTAAAAGCAAATCCTTGAGATATTTGTGCAGAAGCATCATTGCAAAACAGAATCTGCAGTAGAACTATGTCATCTTTTGGTTCTAAGTTTGCCCTGTCATTGCTGGCAGACAGCAAGTATTTATGTGCTTGCTAGCTCTTTAGTGGAACCGGTCTTCTGTTTTCACTGTTGCCTCCTGTGACACAAAGTGCCACCTATCTCCCAAGGTTCTCTCTTGGTAACAGAACTCTAGTTTTTGGCTGGACTCATTTCCCCAGTGGTAGAGGCTGCTGGCTGGTCATGCCATGGGCCCAGGTCGTCTCCTTCGGCACAACCAGATGCCATTTCTCAGCCTCCCTTGTGGTTATGTGCATGGTGTGCTGGAGTTCTGGCCATTACTGAGCTGAAGCGATGTGTCCCTTCTACTCACACTTCTGTAGTCCTGGCCTACAGAAACCCATGATGGTTCTCTATGCTCTTTATCGTTCTACAGCTTAATGCAGATAAGTAACAAGATATTGGAAGACAAGTGTTGAAGGTGAAAGAGGCACAAGATAGAAGAAACCTGGGTCCTTAGATCCCTGCTTGAAGGAAAACCACTTGCCAATCCAGAACATCATTTTGGACTTCATATGAGTGAGAAGCAATCCTGTATCATGTTTGAGCCATTAAGTGTATTTTGGTTATTTGTTCTGATAGCTGTAAGTATCTTACTAACGTAGACATCATAAGTGAAAGACCATGTTTCCTCACCTCCCCTGCTAAGTGTAACCGTGTAACTAAATTCTGGCCAATGAGATGTAAGCGGAAGTGTTTTGTGTGACTTTGAAAGAGGATGCTTCAGGGAAGCTGATTTGGATGGGATGGGAACACTTCTGTCTTCTTTTGCTCCTTCTCCTTTACAGTCCAGAACTCAGACAAAATGTCAGGAATTGCTCTGACCGTCTTGCACGTCTGTGGATGGGAACCATTTTCTAAGACAATGGGGTAGGGTGATAGAGAAGACTAGGTTTCTGATGGACGTGGAGCTGTTGGGCCCATCTGGGATCCTTAACCCCGTCCACAATGCTTTTATGTTAGAGGAATCTCTTTCTTGTTTAAGCCTCTATTTTATTTCTCATAGAGACACACATTCTTTCTATAGGAGCACAAGTGACCATTTTAATATTTGAATCAAGTTATGCCACTTCTTGGCTATGAATCCCTTCATGACTTCATGAATCCCTTCATGATGAATATTTCTATATTTGAAATATAGAATCGAATTTATATTTCTACCATGGTTTATGAAGCCCTGCTTAATTTGTCTCCTACCTACTCCACTGACCTCACTCCAATTACACTGGCCTGCCTTCTGTTCTGCTGTAGTGACTGATCATTCACCTCCATGAGGCCCTACTGCCCTACTGAAGATGTCACCTTTTCAGAGAGGTTCTCTGACCTCCACCTACAATAGGCTTTCCCAGCTTTCGTCTGTCTCACCACCCTGTTTATTTTCTACATGGCTCTGATCACGGTCTTTAATCATCTGGCTGATGTATTTATTCATTTGTTTATCATGATCTCCCCAACTAAAATGTAAGCTCCGTAAGGCAAAGATGGTCTCCCATACAACACAGTGCCTGCTGCATAGGAAGCGCTTATTACATTATGAAAAACACAGCAAACGTGTATGTATATTTGAATATATATAAACACTAGATGTATGTGCATGTGTACACATATACAGTTAACCTGTGACTAATGCAGGGGTTAGAGCGCTGACTCTCCATGCAGTTGAAAATCTGACTTTTAATACAACTTGGTTTTTGAGTTTATGGTGTGTGGATTTCTTTTAAAAAACCTGGCCCTGATTCTAATGAAAGAAAAAGTGGAATTAAATTTAGCCATTATTAAGGATCCAACAAATCAAATATAAGTCACAGTGAATACTAAAATTTTGAGGTGAAAAAGAAAATTAGAACTGGAGATAGACATTACAGTGCCGTCCCAGAAAATGGCAGTATCTAGCCCATGAGAGAGTTTCTTTCATTGCATGTACTAAACATAGTGATTGCTTTTTATCTTTTTAAAAAAATCTAGGCTGGGCGCAGTGGCTCATGTCTGTAAACCCAGCACTTTGGGAGGCCGACGCAGGCGGATCACGAGGTCAGGAGATCAGGACCATCCTGGCTAACACAGTGAAACCCCGTCTCTACTAAAAATACAAAAAATTAGCGGGGCGTGGTGGCGGACGCCTGTAGTCCCAGCTACTCAGGAGGCTGAGGCAGGAGAATGGCATAAACCCGGGAGGCGGAGCTTGTAGCAGTGAGCCAAGATAGCGCCACTGAACTCCAGCCTGGGTGACAGAGTGAGACTCTGTCTCAAAAAAAAAGAAAAAAATATATATAAATCATTATTTGCTCTCTGTTCAAAAATCACTCAGCCATATAGAATTTCCTGCTGAAGAAAATTATGATATAAAAATTTTAAAATTACCCCACCACTTTTTTTTTGTTTGTTTTTTATCTCTGTCAGTTTGTTACCTTTATTCCTGAAAGAAAGACTCAAGACTCATGTAATACTCTAAAATAGGTATTAACAGGAAATGTTCCTGGACAATGTGGGTTTGCAAGAGAAACAAAGAATTTATTGTTGACTCGATTACTAGCTCAAAGTAATCAGAAATTCCATGAAAGACACTGCAAGTTGACCTTTTAAAATTACTTTAAAAAGCTGAGGTTGATTTGTATTTCTTAATCAGCATCTCAGAACAATGTACATTCTTTCTGCATAGTGTTATGGGCATCTGGGGCTTTGGCTTGATCAACATCCACTTCCTCCTCTGATACCAAGCCCCTAGTTTTCTTTTAAAGAACCACCCCTCCCTGACTCTCAGTCTCTGTTTTCTGGTGGGGTTGACTCTTACCCCTAACCCCAGGGGTGGGGCATGTGGTTCAAGTCTGGTCAATAAGAATTTTAACCATGCTGGTGGTTCAGGAATGAGTATGTGTTACATGCTGAGCTTATCAGAACCAATATTGTCAGCCCCAGGGGTTATGCTAGAAGTTTTGGAAAGGATAAATTCCCTTCTGGGGTGGTTAAACCTATAGAAAATTAGCCTGGAGCTTCTGGTGGACATCTTGTCAAAAAATAGTGATTGCCTGCTTGAGAATGAAATCAAGAGAGAGGAAGGCAAAGCTAAAAAGCCTGGAGAAAATTCCTGAAGACATTTTTCAAGGATCTGGAACCACCCTTCAACTTTTTTTTCTTTCTTTTAGAGACAGGGTCTTGTTCTGTTGCTCAAGCTAGAGTACAGTGATGCAGTCATGGCTCACTGCAGCCTCAACTCCTAGGCTCAAATGATTCTCCTGCCTCAGCCTCCCAAGTAGCTGGGACTACAGTTTTTTGTAGAGATGAGGTCATGTTATGTTGCCCAGGCTGGTCTTGAACTCCTGGCCTCAAGTGATCTTCCCACCTTGGTCTCCCAAAGTAACTGACTTACATGCATGAGCCACTATGTTTAGCCTGAGCATTTTCAGGTACACAAACAAATATATTGCTCTTATTTGAGTTTCATTTCTCTCACTTGAAACTGAGAATCTTAACTATACACTTAATTTGTTACTAAATGAATTAGGATATAAAGATTTTTTGAAATTACTTCACTACAAAATTTTCTGTAACTGGAAGAAAGATGGCCATTCCTCCCCAAAAGAACTCTTACGACTTGTATTCATTTATCAGAAAATGCAGTTTCCTTTTGCCTATATACAATCTAAAGATTTTTTAGTATACTTGTTTAGTTGCCTAAATGTTCTTTATATGCTTGTCTTGTCCTTGCAGTTCATATGAGGTATTATGTCACCAATGAGCAGGGACTATGATGAATGTGTCTTTAGAACACCCAATGAAGTGCCACTTGCCACAAGAAGGTAAGTCACAATTTCTGATGGCAAGAAAAGGCAATCATTCTTCCTATAGTTTTGTGCATAAACCGTCCTGCCTCTCTGCTGGGGACCACCTATGGGGAGAGGAAAACTTCTCTCTCATGGCTGTCCTTTCCCAGCACAACTTTAGCTCCTGTTGAGACCAATGCCTTACCTGGAAAATGCAGAGTGAAGGGGTTAGGCCCATCAAAAATTTCCATTCATGATGTTGGGTCAAGCAAGGCATCACACAGAATCAATAGAAACAGAAACACCACCACATGTGAAGAAGGAACCATGCTGGAATGAACGAGGGATGCGGTATGGGTGAGTTACATGGTACGGAGCACAGGAGCTGACTGCTTTGTGCTCTTCCAGGTGGGATCATTACTTGCCAGCCTTCTAGCTGATGCCAGTGACAACAGCACGACAGGCTGAACTGGATTCTTTATGACTATGTATTCATTAGGGGGAAAAAGCACTTCCAATGCAAATGACGGAAATGGAAACAAGATGTGCACTCTGCTGCCTAAACGAAAGCTCTACCAGGTAGGCCGTTCACACTCAATTAAGAGTAGCCAAACAGGGTCTGTCAGGACAGTGGCTGCAACCCCTGTCACAGAGAATGGACAGTGAGAGGTCCAAATGGATTGGGGGGCATGAATGGCACCTGACTTACAGCAGGAGCTCAGCACTTTTACTGTCTTTGCCGCTTCACTGGAACAAGGAGAAAAAGACATTAGGATGAAGGATAATGTACGATACACACATAAAGATGAAAGCGAGAGGGACACACGCAATGTCACTTATTGGAAGGACCACTTTAGGCTGCTCTGTCCTCTCTCCCCTTAAAACATGCTCCACGTTGTTTTAACCATCTGTGGCCCACTCTGGAGCGCAAGGAACCGTGGCCTTTCTGCTTTATTGTGAGCACAGCCATATGAAACTGCAATCTGGCAGCTGAAGGGGAAAGTACTTTTACTGTCTCTGCTGAGAAAGGGTTTGGATGAATCGAATCCCCTGTTATGCATGAAATTGTACCCCCTGGAAAGCTCTGTTTATGACCCAACCCACGGTACCTGTGAATGTGACCTTATTTGAAAATACGGTCTTATAGATGTAATCAAGCAAACATGAGGTGACAGTGAATTAGGGTGGGCCTCAGCCAACATGACTGGTGTCCTTATGAGAAGCAAGGAAGAGACATAAGGAGAACATGGTATGACAATTGAGACAGAGATTGGAGTGATGCATCTACAAGCCAAAAAATGTCAAGGGCTGTGAGCCACACCAGAAGCTAAGAGAAAGGCGTGGGACTGACCCTCCCCTAGAGCCATCAGAAAGAGTCTGACCCTGGTGACACCTTGATTTTGGACTTCTAGCCTCCAGAATTGTGAGAATAAATTTGTGTTGTTTTAAGCCACTCCGTTTGTGGTAATTTGTTATGATAGTTCTAAGAAACTAATCCACCCTGCTAAAGAGTAAATGTCCGATGCAAAACTCACTACATGGATGAAAAGGCTGAGATATTCCGAAGAGTCATAATGAACTGTGCCATCATCTACAAGGAAGTGCAGCTCTGCAACAATTCAAGATAGATCCTGGAGGCGTGGCAGGACAGATGTGCCCACCAGACCAAGAGCACTTTCAGGACAGCATCATGCCTTGTTCTCCTCCACATCCCTCCTTCTGTGCCTGAAAACCAGAAATGCTCAATTAAATGTTGAAAATGTCAATGAATTCATAGGAAAACTATCTCAGATAAGTGATTAACATTATTATTATTTTTTTTTTTTTTTGAGACAGAGTCTTGCTCTGTCACCCAGGCTGGAGTGTAGTGGAATGATCTTGGCTCACTGCAACCTCCACCTCCCAGGTTCTAGCGATTCTCCTGCCTCAGCCTCCTGAGTGGCTAGGATTATAGGCACTTTTTTGCATTTTTAGTAGAGACAGAGTTTCATCATGTTGGTCAGGCTGGTCTTGAACTCCTGACCTCGTGATCCACCTGCCTCGGCCTCCCAAAGTACTGGGATTACAGGCGTGAGCCACCACGCCCGGTCATGATTAATGTTATTTTATGATGCCATGTGAGTCCTTACCATCACCTTCCATGAAGACGTAACTGACAAAGACATCCAATTTGATGCTTTCATTGGAGAAACCCACCCTTGGCCATTGAAGGGCACAACTTTGGGTTTCTTTGAGATTTAATCTGGTCCTTGGAGTCCCAAATGGCAGATGTGACCAGTAACAGCTTTTTACAAATCTTCAAATCCCACTGACACTGGGATTCTGCCCCTCAGATGTGGCTGTGGTTTTTTCATTGGCAGGGCAGGATATGTTACTCTCCATTTAACATCGGCCCACCCAAAGTGTTAGCCTGCTGTTTCGTACATGAATCCATCTTAAATGCCTCCGAGTCTCCAGGCGAAGGGTGCTGCCATCAGCAGCAGCCAATAAATGAAATAATACCAGATATAAAATCAGCCACATTGGTCTCCTGGAGGTAAATAGAGCACAGGGGCGTTTTATTTACTGAAAGGCCAGAATGGCGATACCTGTAAATGTTGAATGTGAATGTGTTTTATAAAGTGTAAAGGGCTGTAAAGAAGTCAGTTATTATGTTTATTATTGCTCCTGCTCTGTACACTTGATCAAATGACAAACCCAAAGACTCACTTCTCTGGGCTCCGGTTTCCTTACTAAAATGAGGGAATTATGTTTAATATCCCAAGGTCCCATTTTTTTTTCTTTGACTCCATGAATCTATCAGCAGGAACTTACATCCAAGTTCCTGAAATGTGGGAATATATTTGGTGATGCTGTTTACATATAATATTAAATTATTTTGCATAAATTTTTCAGAATGTGGTTTGTATAATATCGAAGACGAAGGGGGAAAAAGTAAGGTAAGATGGGAAAGTAGGCCATAAGAAAGGATAAGGAGAAACACTTAAGAAAATCTACCTATTATTATAATTAAAATTCAACTTACCTGGAAAGGGGAGGAGGGTATTTATGATTAACATGAATCTAGTCTGTGCTCATTGCAAAGTAAATTTTCAGAAAAAAAGGGCAAAATCTGATTATTTTAATCATCAGATTGAATGAAATTAGAAATCCCACCTACCTTTTAAAGTAAACAGCAAACTTAATATTTTACTACATAAAAGAAACAATTGAAATAATCCTAACTTCAGGTTATCGTTGCATGTAACAGAACACCATATTTGAAAATGATCCTCATTGAGTTTTTTGGATTCAGCAACTTTTTCTGTGGCTAAGAATGTCCCTTGAGTTTCCTGAAATCTGCTAGAATGCTGGGAAGAGCTGTGCAGAAATACTTCCAAAGGGTCAGGAAGTAATTTAGGATTTTGCATTCAATGGAATCAATCTTTCTTGTGTATTTTTACTTACCTTTTTAGACAATAGGCCAATGATTGTAGGGTTTGTTCTAGCCTTGAAACCAACTCTCTGCAGAGCAACTCCTGTTTCCACAAAGGGTGCATCAGGATGCACAGGACCCTGGATCGCAGGCCCCACGTGTGAACGAAGCAACACAGACCATCGATAACAGAGACCTCTCTAGGGTGAGTTCTCCTGAGATGCAGGGCACAATCAACAGGACAAACAGCCCTAAAGATGACAAATGAGTATACTGGCCTGGGCTGGACGAAAAGAGGCAATAGGGCTAAAAACACAAAACCAAACTTGTTATTTCTCTCCATAACTTCCTTTTGATCTCAAATACTGTGTGTTCTCACTTACAAGTGGGAGCTAAACAATGGGTACCTTGGGCATGAAGATGGAAATCACAGACACTGTAGATTCCAAAGTGGGGAGAATGGAAGAGGGGCAAGGGTTCAGAAATTACTTGTTAGGCTGTTAGGTACTATGTTCACTTTTTTGTTTGTTTGTTTTTTTGTTTTTTGTGTTTTTTTTTTGAGATGGAGTCTTGCTCTGTCGCCCACCCTGGAATGAAATGGCACGATCCTGGCTCACTGCAACCTCCGCTCACCAGGTTCAAGTGATTCTCCTGCGTCAGCCTCCTCAGTAGCTGGGACTACAGGCATGCGCCACCACGCCTGGCTAATTTTTGTATTTTCAGTAGAGACACGGTTTCGCCATGTTGGGCAGGCTGATCTCAAACTCCTGATCTCAAGTGATCCGCCTGCCTTGGCCTCCCAAAGTGCTGGGATTACACATGAGAGCCACGGCACCTGGCCTATGTTCACTATCTGGGTAGCAGGTACACTAGAAGCCCAATCCCACTATTATGCAATATACTGACACATATGTACATACACCTCCTGAATCTAAAATAAAATAGAGATGCAGAAAAGAATAATTCAAAAAATATTTTGAGAAATGTATAACAAGAGCCATAAAAGTGTTTATATTCCCTTGTCCTAGTAATTCTGCTTGTGGATATTTATCTTAACAAAATAATCAGAAGTGTGTAAAATGATTTATGGATAAGCATGTTCACTGAAGCATTCCTTAGACTACAGGAAAAATCCCCAGTATACAAAAATGAGGAAACACTTAAATTCATCATAGTCCATTCGGATGATGGAATGCTGTGTAGCTATGTAAAAATCACATTTTCAGAGATGGCTGTTGATCAGTGAAAATGCCCAATCTATAACATTCCGTGAAAAAGACAGATACACAGCCATATTTTCCATATAATTATAATTTTAAATATGTATGAATGTGTGTGTATATATGTGAAAAAATTGGAAAGAAATGTACTAAAATGTTAACTCATTATCTCTAGGTGGTAGAATTATGAGATTACAGGTGATTGTTTCTGGTTCTTTATATTTTTTAGTTTTTTTTTTTTTTGAGATGGAGTCTCACTCTGTTGCCCAGGCTGGAGTGCAATGGCATGATCTCAGCTCACTGCAACCTCCGCCTCCTGGGTTCAAGTGATTCTCCTGCCTCAACCTCCTGAGTAGCTGGGACTATAGGCGTACACCACCATGCCCAGCTAATTTTTGTATTTTTAGTAGAGACAGGGTTTCACCATGTTGGCCAGGATGGTCTCGATCTCTTGACCTCATGATCTGCCCTCCTTGGCCTCCCAAAGTGTTGGGATTACAGGCATGAGCCACTGCGCCTGGCCTGTTTTTAAATATTTTAAGATTTTTCTACAATGACTCTATATTGCTTTTAATGTCAAAAGTCTCAATAATTTTGAAGGTTGTGGTATTTATACACTTTTCTTTAAAATGACGAATGTTCTCCCTAAATCAGAAATGTGGACACTGTGTTTTGGCTTTAGTGTAGTGAGGTGGAGTATTATGACTAAATACTGTGTTTTCAAGCATTAATGACTCAAAGAGCAAGTACTTACAGAGCACCTACTATTTCCATCAACCAGTGTTATCGAACACTTACTCAATAAGTGTTGGCCTCTGACTTTACACCCAGAGCCAGGAGACCACGAAAAAGCAATAATGCCAGGTCTGCAAGGTGAACGCGAGAAGCTCCTGTTCTAGGTACTTGTGACTGTCCTGTAATGCTAAAGAATGAACCATTCCCAAAGATTTGGCAAACTCGCCAAGCTTACTCCCAAGGAGTCTAACCTTTCCCCAAGTATCTAGTACTCAGGCCCACCTGCTTAGCCTGGTCTCACTGAAGTGTGGAGGCAAAGCATTTGCAGCTTCATCATCTGCCATTTTGTCTCATAAGGAAATTGTGTTAGTCCAAGAGGCTTGGTGTGTTATATGGTTGTACAGCTTAGTGCTTTCTTAGCATTCTGTTTAAGTGCTGACAACTTGATATTTTCATCAATGGTTGCTATATTTCTCCATATGTTATGTTGACAGGCTAATAATTTCAGAAGTCAATTTCTCTCTCTCTCTCTCTTCTCCCAGTTTACGTATTTCTATTTTCCAATTCCTTTATCTGCATTTTGTAAATATCTCAAAATAGTAGAAGGCAGGGCCTCTGGGATCACTTGGCCCAATCCCCATATAATTGGATCCTTAGGGCTTGCTATATCTTTAAAGAAATTGAGGTCACCTTTTGTCACCAAGAATGAAGCACCTGTTGTGTGACTGATGGAGATCTGTATACAGAGCACATTGCCCAGGCAGGTATGATTTGGTTACAGACAGCCTCTTGGTGTATAATAAAAGTTGGGATCAGGTTGTACACATTTTGCTTACTGTAGCAGAGAGCTCTCCATGAACAGAGAACTGTCTAAACGGGGTGGTTGGCCACAGAAGCTGCCCAGGGATGAACCTCCTTTCCACATTAGCCCATGGCCTTTCCAGACCTGAAATTTGAGTTGCATGTGAGTCACTTAGACAGGCCGTCTGTCAATTATTAAGCGCCATCAGTGGGCCCAGCAATTCCATTCTTCGTAGTGCAAAGGTCCTCCACACACTCCAGGTCTATACCATCAAAGTGGCTATTTTTCTCAACTGATCTCTGCCCTTTAAGAAAATGGGGGTCATCTATTTCCAGGGATCACTATTTACTCCCGATTGTCAGATGGTGGAGCCCAGTGGTTAATAAACAACCTTGTTTTAAATCCCATCTCAGTTGTTTGCAAGCCATGTGTCTTTCAGAACTTTACTTAAATTTCTTGAGCCTCAGTTTCCTCACTGGGGTGTGGTCAAGTGATAATCAAGTATTTGTACTTTAACCCTGTACCTCGCTGATAGCAAGCCCTCAGAGAAGAATTAACTTAGAGTTTTTATACATTCCCTCCAGTGCAATGTTCCTAACATACAAGGGGCATATGTATGTATTATGAGTGGGAAGAAGGAAGGAAGGAAGGAAGGATGCAATTGATAAGGCTTGCATTCAGCATTTCTGCAGTCTAACTCTCTTTCCTTAGGAAGATCTGGATGTGCCAACATTCCTTATATATCGTGTGGAGGTGACTTCGGTTTTTCTTTCAGTCCTTCATCACTTGAAAGAGCATTTGGTGATAATGAGCAGGTTTTGAAGTCTGTGAACTAAATTAAAAGTAAAAATAAATGGGATGGTGAAATTTTGTTTGTGCCTTAAGGGAACTCCCTTTTACCCTCTCACTATGTTGATGATGTAATGTTTGTTCTAACATATCATCTAACAATTCCCTCCATTCATTTTTTTCTCCTTATTTCTTCTCCTTTCAAGTAACAGTATCTTCAACAATCGTTCAGCTGTTCAGAAACTTAAAAATCATGAGGCGATTCTTAAAGGATAGGAATTCATATTGATCACACAACGTGTAATCCCACATCTATATACTGGCAAATGGTGGCACAAACACCATAAAATCTCAGCTTGCTTTGTAGCCATTCTGGATTGCTGAGTTCTAGGTAAGTAAGAGCTGGTCCTTCAAAGCACCAAAAGAAAGAAAGAAAGAAAGAAAGAAAGGAAGGAAGGAAGGAAAGAATGGAGGTGGGCAGAGAGGGAGGGAAGAAGGAAGGAGAGGGAGGGAGGGAGGGAGGGAGGGAGAGAGAGAGAGAAAGAAAAAGAAAGAAAGAAAGCAAGAAAGCGAGCGAGAGAGAGAGGGAGGGAGGGAGAGAGAGAGAGAAAGAAAAAGAAAGAAAGAAAGCAAGAAAGCGAGCGAGAGAGAGAGGGAGGAAGGAGAGAGAGGGAGGAAGGAAGAAAGGAAGGAAGGAAGGAAGGTAAGAGAGAGAAGAAAAAAAAAGAAAGAAAGGAAGAAAGAAAGAAGAAAGAAAAGAAAGTAGGGAGGGAGGGAGGAAGGAAGGAAGAAAGAAGGAAGAAAAGAAAAGGATTTTGGTAGAAAATTTTCTAAAATGTAATTCAACCGCCCCTGCTTTCTTAAAGAGTGGAGGAACTTTATTTAACAACTCTTTTTTTCTCTTTTTTTCGGTCTTAACATCATCACAAAAAGAACTGATTTCACTGCTATTGGATAAAAAAATAATGGGTTTAGGCCATGATGGGGGAGAGAGAGAGAGACAGAGAAGTGAGAGAGAAAGACAGACACACACACACAGAGACAGAGAAAGAGAGAGAGACAGAGAGAGACATACACACACAGACAGAGAGAGACGCAGACAGAGAGACAGAGAGAGACACATACAGAGAGAGAGACACACACACACGCACACACAGAGACAGACGCACAGGGAGAGAGAGAGAGAGAGAAATATTTGCCTGCACACCTGAGAGGTCCCAATGACTGTGCCTTCTGGAATTCTTGTGCCTGTCTGTTTTTTGCACCTTTTTTCTGTTGCTCTCTTCTTTGGGCCATCAGCAGTTACTTCTTGTTAGTGTGCAAGACTATGCAAAGCCTTCTCCCTAATGCTGATTTTCTATTTCTAAATTGCTACGGGCATGGAGAAACTCACACTGGTTAGGGATATGTGTACAATAAACATAAATGCTTTCCAAGTCAGGAACTGAGGGCTGGTTCTTCTCTGAGAAAAGTATAAGAAAAGTGTTTCTCAAGTGTTGTTTTATTTTTTAAAAATTCATTGTTTCCAAGCTATTTTCTAGATATGAGAGGTTAGCAATGGCTCAGTTCTATGTAAATAAAAATATATGTGAAGTATTGTCAACCTACCCGCCCCACCCCTGGCAGAGATTTGTTACTCAAATGCTTACATTCAGATGATATATATCTTTCTTGCCCTGAAGTTTTGAAAATTTTAATAGCTCCATGGATTGAACTGACACGAGAGAAAAATATTTCAAGTCTCTTTTAGTAATTTTTATGCTCATAAAAATGTTTCCAGTGTATCAAAGGCAAGTTTGAACTCAGAGAAGTAATATCCTCCAAAATCTATCTCAGGGGCTATCTCCCTACTGATGACACTTTCCTCTTTTCCCAATTGATTTATAAAACTCATTTTCCAAGTGGGCAAAGGACATGAATAGACACATCTCAAAAGAATACATGCATGTGGCCAACAAATATATGAGAACATACTCAATATCACTAATCATCAGAGAAATGCAAACTAAAACCACAATGAGATACCATGTCACACCAGTGAGAACGGCTTTTAAAAAGTCAATAGGCCAGGCGTGGTGGCTCAAGCCTGTAATCCCAGCACTACAGGAGGCCAAGGTGGGTGGATCACGAGGTCAGGAGTTCAAGACCAGCCTGACCAATATGGTGAAACCCCGTCTCTACTAAAAATACAAAAATTAGCCAGGCACGTTGGCAGGTGCCTGTAGTCCCAACCACTCGGGAGGCTGAGGCAGAAGAATCACTTGAACCTGGGAGGTGGCGGTTGCAGTTAGCTGAGATCACACCACTACACTCCAGCCTGGGAGACAGAGCGAGACTCCGTCTCAAAAAATAAATAAATAAATAAATAAAAAGAATTACAGATGCTGGCAAGGATGTGGAGAAAAAGGACTGCTTATACACTGTTATTGGGAATGTAAATTAGTTCAACCCCTATGGAAAATAGTATGGAGATTTCTCAAAGAACTAAAAATAGAATACCATTTGACCCAGCAACCCCACTACTGGGTAACTACCCAAAGGAACAGAAATCGTTCTGTCAAAAAGGCACCTGCACTCATATGTTTATTGTTGCACTACTCACAATAGCAAAGAGGATGGAATCAACCTAAGTGCCCATTCATGGTGGGCTCGATAAAGAAAATGTGGTACCATGGAATATCCTGTGGCCCCATGGAATATTATGCAGCCCTAAAAAAAGAATAAAATCATATCCTTTGCAACAATATGGATGCAGCTGGAGGCCATTATCCTAAGTGAATTAACATAGAAACAGAAAACCAAATGTCGTATGTTCTCACTTATAAATGGGAGCTAAACAATAGGCATACGTGGACGTAAAGATAGAAACAGTAGACACTGGGGATTCCAGAAGGGGAGATGAAGGGAGTGGGGTAAGGGCTGAAAAACTACCTATTGGGTACTATGTTCACTATTGGGGTGATGGATTCAATAGCAGCCCAAACCCCGGCATTATGCAATATACACTTCTAACACACCTGCCTAAGTATACCCTGAGTCTAAATTTTTTTTTTTTAAGTTAATTTTTTAAAAACTCATTTTCCATGACTGGTCATTTCTATTTAAGATTCTGTTGGTCAAAACTGCTATCTAGGCAGTTGCCAGTCCTTCAGGATTTCCAAGCAGAAACCATAATGAGTATTAAAAATCAGTGGGCTGGGAGCTCTAGGTCCCCAAACACCTTCACAGTCAACCATGTGATGTTTCTGATTGACAACCCACAAGCAGGGGTAAACTGCGGGGGTCCGCTGGACCAGAGCAGATTGCAGCCAGGCTGGCCTTCCTGAAAGATACACACACTGGTCCCCAGACCCTGGGAGCCCCCGCTCCCCCGACTGTTTATATTTGCTATCACACACTGAGCAATCATGCGGTACACTTCACAGTCAGCAAGTTTATCTTGAGTTAAAGTTTGACCAGTAGAAACCAAGTTGTGTTTACCCCCGTTCTGCAGCAAGTCATGTGCAAATAGCACCTGTGAACATTTTTCAGCACACATTCTGTACCCCCTCCATGGTTCTCATGGCAATGAATGTTGCGGGGAAAGCCAGCAAGTGTCAAATCTTTGGCAAATGTTAAAATCCTCTCCGGAAATGATTCACAATGACTGCCATCAGGGTGCATGGGTAATGACCATCTTTGTCATTAGCACACATTCTCTCTTCCCCAAAATGCAAACTCAACCCAGTAACCCCTCTACTAAACAGATTAGGAACTCTGAATGCTGTGACAAATATTTTCTCACTGTAATCAGAATAATCTACACTTATTTTTTTTTCATTGTTAGAATTTAAAAGGATTTTTATAGACTGGATTTCACAATACTTTCCAACTGTTGTATTTCGTATTTATGCATTGGTCACAATGTGTTAAGCACTATTCTAAGTGCTTTCAAACATTATTAATTCATTTATTCCTCCTAACAACTTTGTGAGATAAGTACAATTACCCCATTTTACAGATCTGCAAACTGAGGTACAAAGAGATTCAGTAATTTGTCCAAGGTTATATACATTGCTAGTAAGTGGTAGAGCCAGTGAGTTGAACCCAGGCCCAGATGAAAGCAAGTATATACCCATTTTCCATGCTGCCTTACTGTGTAAATATAAGTATTGGTAATACTGTCTCTTTTTTTCCAAATAAATTGAAGCTGATTTTTAAAATATTTACTATATTAGTTTGCTAGGGCTACTATAACAAAGTACCCTAGACTGAGTGGCTTAAACAATAGAAATTTATTTTCTCACAATTCTGGAGGCTAGATGTCTGAGATCAAGGTGCCGTCAGGGTTGGTTTCTCTTCAGGCCTTTCTCTTTGCCTTATAGATGGCCACCTTCACCAGTTCACCTTACACAGTCTTCACCCTGAGTGCATCTGTATCGTAATTTCCTCTTGTTAACAAACACCAGTCATATAGGATTCGGGCTCACAGTAATGACCTCATTTGAACTTAATTACCTCTTTGAGACCCCGTCTCCAAATAGAGTCCCATTCTGAGGTTAGTGGGATTAGGGGTTCAACATATGAATTTAGGGGGACATAATTCACTATAACATCTACCACATGGTCATAATGTGCTGGCTACTATATAAAATGTCAAAATGTTGAGCTCCAAGTTCTTTAAGAAGGCACAGTATTCATCGTGGACATTTATTTGAATGACAAAGTGGACATGGCTCTTGTTTCTTTCCTAGATAGTTGACTTGACCATGTTCTCCAATTTGAAGTGGGTACTATGACCGAGGCATAGTGCTTGCCATTGTTTCACCTTGACTTCCTCACTTTGTACACCAAGGGTGAGAAACTATTCATCTCTCTCTATCATCTATGTTTCATCTCTCTCTCTCTCTTTATCATCTATCTTTCATCCATGTAGCTATCTATGTATCTATTGATCTATCCAACTATCTGCATGTCAATCAGTCATCTCAATGGACCACAAATTAAGGAGTGAAGTAGTCATCTTGTTAGTATGAGTGTCTTGGGCATGTCTTTAAAAAGACTCCATTTTAGTTTTCTCATTATAAAATGTGTCTCTTAAGCCAACTGTAGAAAGTATGACTTAGTATAAAGGGAAGGAGCTTTATGGCAGGAAATCTAAGGTAAGCCATCTTTTATGACTAGAAGTAAATCCCTGGGTACAGGGAAAAATCAGAGACGTGGAAATAATAGACGTGTGTATATGTAAGTATGAGATATTCATCTCACAGCGCCTGTCATGTAGGCGGTGATTTAAAAATATTAAAGGAAGGAAAACAGTATCCTGTCCCAGTTTTTTCCAACAAATGGCATAAACAGATACCTGCAATGATTTAGGTCCCTACAATGATTAAGCACATGTAACACTATAATTTTACTTCTCATATAAAAGCAAATATTATCCTGCCTCTCCTACTTCTAATTCTAATTCCCCAAGTAGAGCATGTCCTTCTTAACTATGTTCATCACTTCTGCAATTACTGTGAATGTGGAAGTGCTATTTAAATAAATTTTAGAGCATTGTACAAGTGTTAGCATGAATGTTAGCCACTCCTTTCCCTTCTTTTGGTTTTGAATCCCAGGAAACTAAAAACAAAATTGGACATTAGTGAAATGAAGTTGCCAGGATAATGCTGAGTGAACTATGGCAATCCTTTGTTAACCCTAGTGTTATAATAATGAGGTTCAGCATTTGTTTTTTAAAATTTCAAAATCTGTGATCTTTTAGCAGATGTTGGGCTCAGTTCAGTATCCTTCAGAGTGATGACTTTCCTTTCTTGTAGGTTATGCATGCCATGATTGAGGAACTGCCTGTGTTCTACCCTTCAATGAATGGATAGAAATGTAGATCCAGAAAAGAAAAATGTGCCCTTAAGTTCCTCAATATTTTGGGAAATTGCCAAGTGGTTACTGTAGTAGATTACAGTATTGTTTGCAATTATTTGTCCTTTCTCCTTTAAAAGGATTATACATCCCTGCCTTAGACCCCTTATAGGTAAGTGTACTTCCCTGTCCCTATCAGACTTGGTCATGTGATTTTCATCCACCAATGACATGTGAGTAGACAAGGTACATGCCACTTAGGAGCAGAAGCTTTAAATGTGATCGTGTGGTTCCACTTGGTCTCTTGCTCTTCTGCCCTCTTCCAAGAGAAAAGTATTTTCCAGATAGGAGCTGCTCCTTCAGCTGTATCCTGGGATGACGAAACACATGGGACAGAGCCATAGCAGACTCATAGCCTACATGTATCATGAGCAGGAAATACATTGATGATCTAACTACTGAGATTTTGGGGGATTGTTTGTTATGCAGTGAAGCTGACTAATACAGTTGCACAAGATTTTGCTGAGATTTGCACAGATAAAACAAGGGAGGATGTGAGTGCAAGAAGATGTTATACTTCACAGTAAGGGCTAGTTTCTAAACATGAAAGAACACATAGCTTATGTAACATGACATTTGTTGGAGAATATGCTCTAGAAAATCATGATATCACATATATATACTAAATATCTGAAAGAGATTAAGGAGAAAACATTTCCAGCAGAGGAGTTCTTTAATATAGACAGAGCTTGTTTCAGAATTGGTATCTTCCTGAATATTTGGTTTATGTATGTATTTTTACATATATATATGTGTGTAATTACTCAAACATAGTATCATTTTAAATTTTTACTCTCTAAACCCCATTTTTAATGAGTTCTTGATCTTGCCAACTAAGGTTCTGTTAACATTTTTCAGAAGTGTACAATAGGTTACAGATTATAGCTCTGCACGCCAGGAGGTTTAGTGGTAAGTGTTTACTGAATGTAAATATTACAAGGAGAAAACTGGAGCACCGTGATAAAACTTGAGCTTAGAATAGTACCTGGTATAGAGTAGATGCTAAAAAGTACTTATTGATTGACTGAGTAAATTATAATACTGTAGAGTTTAGGTAAGATAAGGGGTAACATTTGTCCTGAGGTTTGTTTGCTGTTTATTTAATTATGAATTCTCTCCCTTCTCATCCCGTAAAGACTCTGGCTCAACTCCCTCTGGAGGAGTGAAGACCTCGTATAAGTCACTTTCTTTTTCTTTGTTTTCCTACACAGAAAGTGGGAATTGTAAGAGTGAGAAGAAAATGTTTAAAATGTTTGGAGAACTTTTGTGCTTTATAACTGTATTCCCTTGCCCCTTTTCCACTTGTTGAGTATTTGTGGCTTATTGCTGTTGTTTCTGTGATTGACTCGAAGTCCACTCTGATGGCTCCTGTTCTGCTCTCTACCTTATGCTGTGCTGGCATGCCTATGAGTGGGAGACCCCAATTCATAGTCTCGAAAGCTGTGTTGGAGGACAATGAATGGAGAGAATGCAGTCCTTGAAATTTGGAAATAGGTGGGATCCAAAGAGTACCCCAATATAGCATTTGCTCATTGTTCATAAAACAGTTGTTGAATGCATGAATATATACTTTTTGAGACTGTAGGGATGCTTGTACGAAGAGCAGCTGAACACCTGGCGAGGATAGCAATTATTTGCATGTGTCCAGCTGTGTGCCTGTGCCAGGGCTAAGTCTCCTAGGAAACCAGAGTATCACCACATTGTGAGCCTGATCTCATGGCGGTGGCAAGCAGTTTAGTTTCCTGCCTCCACCAGAGTGAGGGCACACTTGGTGTTAGTAAATTTCATAAAAATAACATTTTAGGTATTAAATAGATTTTAATTAAATGAATTATGTATTTCTGAAATTAAATAATTAACAATAATAAACCTCCTCATTTACCCTCAAATATTGAGGTAGTAAGAGAAGAGTAATCATTTAGGTTTATGCCTTTCTGGATATCAGTATTTAAGAGCGCCCAGGAATGGCTGAAGTTGTCTTTTCTCTGTCTGAACCCCCTCCAGTAACTTGCATGCCCTGTAAAGGCAGAAATTACACATGCCTGGTTCACTGCTAGGTCCTTAGTTACTACCTTGGTTCCCATCTTGTTATAGGCACTAATACAGACTCAGTGACTGCTCGATGAGCTGTACTGAGAGGGCCCAAAGCCATGACAGGCCTAGCCCACATCACTGCTTGGCAGGAGCTGCTCCTAAGTCAGTGTTGCCTTGGGGAGTCTGAGAAAACACCTAGGTGGATAAATTAGTACATTTCTGGCCAAAGGGCCTCACTGAAATCTCACCATAAATTAGTTGCAGGAAAAGAGCACTTAAGGTGATTCACGCCTGTAATCCCAGCACCTTGGGAGGCTGAGCCAGGTGGATCACTTGAGGTCAGGAGTTCAAGACCAGCCTGGCCAACATGGCAAAACCCTGTCTCTACTAAAAATACAAAAATTAGCCAGGCATGGTGGCGCGCGCCTGTAATCCCAGCTACTCAGGAGGCTGAGACAGGAGAATCACTTGAGCCCAGGTAGTGGAGGTTGCGGTGAGTGGAGATCACACCACTGCACTCTAGCCTGGGTGACAGAGCACGACTCTGTCTCAAAAAAAAAGAAAAGAAAAGAAAAGAAAAGAACACTTGATATTTAATGTTACACATGGACAGATATCTATAATATTAATAAGACCTTCCATTTGTTGAGCGATACTATGATTTAAACACTGACATTAATTCATTTAATGCTCACAAGCACTCTATGAGGTCTTTTGTAGGCTGCCTCTGCGATGGCCCTGTTGATCCTCACCTCCTGGCATTCACTTCCTTGTATAATCTCTTCTCCTTGAGTGTGGACTGGATTCATATACTTGCCTTGAATGAGTAGAGTATGTCGAAGTAATAGGATGTCCCCTTCAAGATCAGATTGTAAAAAAGTCTGTGACTTCTGTCTTTGGTGCTCCAGCTGCCATGCCATGAGCCACCCTGTAGAGAGGTCTATGTGACAAAGCACTGAGGGAGACCCCCAGCCAACAGCCAGTGAGGAAGTGGAACCCTCAGTCCAACAGACTCCGTTGGATGGAATCCTATTGGCAACCACATGCATGGACTTGGAAGAGGATCCTGCCCCAGTCACACCTTCAGATGGGACTGCAGCCTCAGACAGCAGTTGGATTGCAACCTCATGAGATACTTTGAGCCAGAAGCTCCTGACTGAGTCGTGCCTGGCTTCATAAACCACAGAAGTTGTAGCTAATACATGTTTATTGGTTCAAGCTGCTAAGTTTTGGGGTAATTTATCACACAGCAATAGATAACTAATATAGGTAGGTACTGGTATTATTTGTGTTTTACAGAAGAAGAACCTGAGGTTTAGAGAGGATAGGAAATGATGCAGCCAGGATGTGAACCTTCAAATATGACTCCAAGGACTGCGCAATTGATAACTAGAATCAGTTTTGGATAACGTTAAGCACATTACTGTTGTTCAGTCCAGCTTGGTACTGTGCAGAAACTTTGTGGTTCCAGACTTTAGAAAAGCTAGTATGAGCAGACAAAAGGATGGTTTCCTCCCAAGCCAGGTAAACATTTTAAAAGATACACAAGAAAAAAATTATAGATCATGCAGCAACAATAGAGCATTAACATTCCATTTCTAACAAAGATGATCTTAGTATTAGTCAGAGTTCTCCAGAGAGACAAAACTAATAGGAGATAGATAGATGGATGGATGGATAGATAGATAGATAGATAGATAGATAGATAGATAGATAGATGATGGATAGATAGATAGATAGATGATGGATAGATAGATAGACAGACAGGAGAGGATTATTAGGGGAATTGGCTTATGTGATTATGGAGGCAGAGAAGTCCCACGACAAGCTGCCCACCAACTGCATGCCCGTAGTGTGGCTCAGTCCAAAAGCCTCAGAACCAGAGAAGCCAATGGTGCAATTCTCAGTCTGAGGCCAAAGGCCTGAGAGCCCAGGGTGTCCTGGACTCTAAATGCTGAAAAGCCTGGAGTTCTGATATCCAAGGGTAACAGAAGCAGGGTGTTCCAGGTGCAGGAGAGAGAAAGAAAGAATTCTCCTTTCCTCTGCCTTGTGGTTCTCTATGGGCCCCCAGCTAATTGGATGGTGCCCACCTACACTGAGGGCAGATCTTTCCCACTCGGTCCACTGACTCACATGCCAGTCTCCACTGGAAACACCCTTAGACACACCCAGATTTGAGGCTTTACCAGCTCTCTAGGTATTCCTTAATCCAGTTAAGACCTAAAATTAACTATCACAGCTTCCCTGCCTTCCAGTCCACCACTCAAAAATAACCATTCTCAGCAGTTCCTTCTGTTCTCTATTGCCTCAAAATTATGCAAAACACAGCAAATGTGGATGTACATTTGCATATATAAAAATATTGTGTGTGTGTGTGTATGTGTGTACACATATATATATACAGTTGACTCTAGAGCAACATGAGGGTTAGGGGCACCGATCCCCCAACACAGTTGAAAATCTGCATATAACTCTTGACTCCCCTAAAACATAACTACCAAAAGCCTATTGTTGATCAGAAGCCTTACCAATAACACAGTCAAGCAACACCTATTTTGTACGTTATATGTATTAGATGCTGTATTCTTAGAAAAAAGTAAGCTAGAGAAAAGAAAATCCTAAGGAAGAGAAAATATACTTACTATGTGTCGAGTGGAAGTAGATCATCCTAAAGGTCCTCATCCTCATTGTGTTCATGTTGAGTAGGCTGAGGAGTGGGGAGGAAGAGGAGGGACTGGTCTTGCTGTCTCAGGGACAGCAGAGGTAGAAGAAAATCTGTGTATAGTGGACCTGCACAGTTCAAACCCATGTTGTTCAAGGGCCAATTGTGTACACAACACCACACACACACACACACACACACACACACGAGTATGCACAAAAATTTGGGATCATGGTTATTTCTATTATTTATTGCTACATAACAAATCACCCCCAAACATAGTGGTCTAAAACAGTAGCAAGCGTTTCTCCTCAGTCCTGGTTTCTGTGGGTCAGGAATGTGGAAAGAGCTCAGCAGGCTGGCCTGGTATTGCTTGTGCAGGGGCAGGCAGGGACTAAAGCTGGAGCACCTGGGCACATCTCTCTCCCCATCATCTTTCCACTTGTGTTAGTTTGGGCTTCCTCATAGCATGGTGATCTCAGGCTGCCCACTTAGCCACTAAAGGCTTAAGAACAAGTATCCTAGCAACAAGGCAGAAGATGCATCACTTTTTATAGCCTAGACTCAGTATCATATATTATCATTTCTCTCCTCCCCTATTGGTCAAAACAACCACAAAACTTGCCCAGTGTGAAGGGGATTTCATCTCCCAATGGAAGAAGTGTCAAAGAATTTGCAGACAAAGTTTTAAATTTCCATAATGATATACTCATACCACTCTAATGTAGAGTAGGTGCACACATCCAAGAAAGTCTCTAAAATAATTCAGGGGTATAAAAATATAGTAGAGCTTATATTTCTTTGTTTTAATTCACCCCTTTTGCTTTATTTTTGTATCTCTTTATGTACATATACATGTATATGTTCTATAAATAAATAAATACATTGGGGAATGTGCCCAAAAGTTTTACACAATTTAAAAACTTTGTCAGATATTGTTAAATATGTTGCCCTTGCTTCTTTATTTTCTACTTATTAAAATTAAAAATCCTTTATATGCAAACTCTACCCATCAACTTTTCACCTTTTTAAAACCTGCTTCATAAAGTTCTATTGTCTAAGTAGTCTCAGCTGATGGATATTTAGGTAAATTCCAGTTGTTTCCACTATTATAAGCAATGCTGTAATGTACCTCCTTGTCCTACATATTTTGGTATAATTTTGTCAAGGCAGTAGTAGTCTAAATTCAAGCAGTGGAATTCCTAGAGCAAAGGGAGCATACATTGAAAATTACAGTTGATATTGTTAAATTGCTCTCAGATGAGTCTATTAATATTAGCAACATGACCCCAGTTAACAGTCCCCATAACAATATTTGTGAGTTCCTTTCTCCACATTTCTTCACAGGCACTAATTATTTTAAAAACTTTACAGTCTTTGCCAATTAGGTGAACAATGGTATCCTGTTATGATTTGGATATGCATTCTTCATGTCAAGTGAATGTGCTTAGCACACATTTGTGTGACTTTTCTTATAAACTGCCCATTCATATTCTTTGCCCAATTTTTAATTTATTGATTCTTGCCAGCTTTTTGTTATTGGTTTGTACCAGCTTTTTATAATTTAAGAAAATTAACCCTGTGTTTCTCATATATGTTGCAAGTATTTGCCCTGATTGTCACATTTTTAAAAGTAATTTTGTCATACAAAAGTATGTATACTTTTATGGTATTAAATTTGTAATTTTTAAATCTGTGGCTTCTACACCAGAAAGGGCTTCGCTATACAGAGATCATCAATAAACACACTCAGGATTTTTCAAATCTTAGGGTTTCATTACCTTTAAGTTTTTTATCCACGTGGAATTTATTGGGGGAAAGGGTATGGTAAGAATGAGCTTAGGCCAGGCACGGTGGCTCACACCTGTAATCCCAGCACTTTGGGAGGCCGAGGCGGACGGATCACCAGGTCAGGAGATGGATCCTGGCTAACACAGTGAAACTCCGTCTCTACTAAAAAAAATAATTCAAAAAATTAGCCGGGCATGGTGGCAGGCGCTTGTAGTTCCAGCTACTCGGGAGGCTGAGGCAGGAGAATGGCGTGAACCCGGGAGGCGGAGCTTACTGAGTCAAGATCATGCCACCGCACTCCAGCCTGGGCGATAGAGCAAGACTTCGTCTCAAAAAAAAAAAAAAAAAAAAGAACGAGCTTAATTTTCTTTTTTTTTTTTTTAAGTGGCTAGCCACTGGTTCCAACACTATTTGTTGAATAGCCCTTCTTTTCACCTCTTACAAGCAGCACTTACTACTTTCACCTGATCCTCACTCATCAAGTGTCTAATGCTTACCACTTTGGGTAGATGATGACAATGACCTATAATTAGGGCAGAAGCTACTGTTCCTACAAAGAGAAGGCCCTTTATATAACTTCTTACTACAAGCATATACATGCCCTACCTTAGAGGTTAAGCTGATCTGTCCACCCACCCCCACCCCCAGCCTCTCTGAGATAATTTTCCTTATGCATATTTGACAATTCTTGCCCACTTGATTTTTTTTTTTTTTTTTTTTTTCCTGAGACAGCGTTGCCCAGGCTGGAGTTGCCCAGGCTGGAGTGCAATAGCACGTTCTCAGCTCACTGCAACCTCCGGCTCCCGAGTTCAAGCAATTCTCCTGCCTCAGCCTCCCAATTTGCTGGGATTACAGGTGCCCACCACCACACCCATCTAATTTTTTTGTATTTTCAGTAGAGAGTTTTGCCATTTTAGGCAGGCTGGTCTCAAACTCTTGACCTTAGGTGATCTGCTGCCTTGGCCTCTCAAAGTGCAAGAATTACAGGCGTGAGCCACAGCGCCCAGCTACCACTTGATCATTTTTTGAGTCAGTGCTCTAGGCACAACCACTCTGTAAGTCACTTTCACAAAGTGCTCTTCAAGATTATTCATGTTCACCTCAATAGATGCAGAAAAAGCATTTGACAATGTGCAACATTCTTTCTTGATTAAAAAGTCTCAACGCTTTAGGTATAGAAGGAAATTTCCTCAACATAATAAAGGCCATTTATGAAAATCCCAGAGACAGCAACATAAGCAGTGCGAAAAATGGAAAGCTTTTCCTCTAAGATCCAGTACAAGGCAAGGATGCCTACTTTTGCCACTTCTGTTCAACATAGTATTGAAAGTACTAGCCAGAGCAGTCAGATAAGAAAAAAATATGAAGGGCATCCAAATCAGAAAAGAAGTAAAATTATCCCTGTTTACCGGTGACATGATCCTATATGTAGAAAACCCTAACAACTTCAAACACACACAAAAAAACCTGTTTAAACTAATAAACGAATTCAGTAAAGTTGGAGAATACAAAATCAACATACAAAAATCAATACCTTTCTTCACAACAATAAAGACTTATCCAAAAAATAAAAAATAAAGAAAACAATTTCACTAATAACATTAAAAAGAATAAAATAATTAGGAATAAATTTAACCAAATAGCTGAAAGATCTGCACACTGAAAATTATAAAACATTGATAAAAAAATTTAAAATGACACAAATAATGGAAAGAGATCCCATATTCATGGACTGAAAGAATTAATATTGTTAAAATGTTCATAGTACACAAAGCAGTATGAAGATTCAAAGCCATCCTTGTCAGTATTCCAATGGCATTTTTTACAGAACTGGAGAAATCAGTTCTAAAATCTGTATGGAATCACAGAAGACCCCAATAGCCAAACTTATTAAGAAAGAAAAACGAAGTTGAAGGCATCATACTTGGTGATTTTTATATTTTACTACAAATCTATAGTAATCAAAACAGTATGGTATTGACATAAAAACAGACACATAAACCAACAGAACAGAATAGACAGTCCAGAAATAAACCCAAGCATATACAATCAACTAATTTTTGACAAGAGCACCAAGAAGGTACAACGGAGAAATCAGCCTCTTCAGTAAATGGTATTGGGAATGCAGGATATCCACATGAAAACGAATGAAATTAGACCCCATCTTACAACAGACACAAAAATCAACTTAAAATAGATTAAAGATCTAACACCTGAAACCATAAAA